CTTGTTTCATTTTCATTGATCCACTCTGTCCGTTTGTCAATGCAAAGCGAACATATATAGACCTTCAACGCACATTGACAATGAATATCTACCACTAGAAATACTACTAGAAATATTTGAGAATATCTTTGAAAATGGCAACAGTGATATTTAGAAAAGAATGAAAACAATGCAATCAACTGCTATAAAAGTCAACAGTCTCATTGGACAGGTGTTCTCTCCCCCCCATTTAACAGGTGATGCCATTGTGTTTAAGGAATCCGGTATTTTGGTTATCAAAAATGTTATTCCTCAGTAAGTACTTCAGGTGAAGCAATTTTCATTCGTCAAAATACTTTAAAATTGAAAACTAAAGAAATTTTTTCGTGATTATATGTATCTAAATAAAATCTAGAACCATCTTACTCTTTTCAGCGTTGGGAATTCTCAACCTTTCGAAGCAAATAAGATACATTCGATCGATTGTATCAGTACACCATATGACAGATCACTGGTTCACAGAAATATATTATAAAATAGTGCAACTTTTTGAGAATATTTTTACTTACACAGAAGCGGATGTTAAACTTAGGCCGGTCAGGCCGCCACTGATGTACGGAGCGTCCCCTCCATTTCGAAATTCAAATATAGATTTCAAAGTGTTTGAACTCTAAGTGAACTTTTCTACGAAACGCATCAGTTTCGAGATTTCTCAATAAGTGTGGGATCAAGCTAGAAACTGTAGTATAAAAACTGTAGTATGACGTTGATTATCTCCAGAAAATACTCTTTACTACCGATAGTTTCTTGTCCATGAAACAATTGGGAAATCCATAGAAACTTCATAAAACTCAACACCGATCAAATTATTTCGTTCTTCATGACAACGTAAGTCTTTTCAGTTTTTCTGAATTCATTCACAGTTTTCGGAATTGGTAAAACCCAATAACATTATCTGGGGTGGAGGGTGTCAATAATTTCATTCTATTGTCTATGATATAACTACAAATTCGCAAATATTTCATGATCTTCATTTTAAAAGCTGGTTCTCCCTTTTTGACGAAGATTGTGACGGATGTTTCTTAGCATAGAATAATTTCCTCAAGCCTACATGTTTTCAAGTTCAACTCAAAGATCTTTTGAGTGAAGTGTTCTACATTTGACTGCTATGTAGTTATTACACATTACAATTGGTCTATTAGATTTCCAATTTTTGTCGTCATGTCATAAACGAATATGAAGTAACTGTTACCACTAATGAGGAGCTGAAACATACACTCCTCCTAGGGGCTTGAACACGAGGATTACAAAAATCCTTGCAAGTGTCCCCCTTGACAATAAAATTGACCTCTTTTTTTGATTCCTCATATTGTTTATTGGAAGGAAGATATTAAGGGTGGAAAGTTCTCAAATTGACACCCTGTATAAATATAACACATGGATTCGTCTACCCAGTAGACAGTTTATATAGATTGTGGAAGATATATTCTTTCCTTTTGTGTTTTCATTTTCTTAAGTCCTCATTTGAGAATCAAACTTATCCTGGATCTCAATTCATTTCAGCAGTTTCAGCATCTTACACAGTTATTGCAAGTAGTCGCTTTTGTATATTACTGTGATAGGTATTGCGAAAACTTCATGAACACATTGTTGATCACCAAAATTGTGGAAAAATTCTTCAATTTCAGTAAATTTTTTATTTACGTTCCTTATAGTTTTCCAAGCGGTGTATCTTGGCGTACAAAGAATAGAGTGTTTCTTAATTTTGTCACGACTAACATACATACAGACAGACAGACGGATCACGTAATTCTATAGAAACTTTTTTCATTTCAACATATCGTCCAAGCAAAAATGGGTTTTACTCGTCGTGCAACAAGATTGGGGTTTGATATGAGAACCATTGAAATTAATTTAGAAAAAATCGTTCTGTAATACTTTTTCTGGTAGATATTGAATACTATAGTGGAAAAGACATGATGCTTGGAATAAACTTGATGTATCTCTCTGCATTATCTTCAGACTTCTGCAGGGTTTTGTTGGGTTCCTGAGTTCCTGAGTTGAGTTTTGTGAATTTGGGAAACCCTCTTCAGATATTTCCAACAGTTTCATTTCATAATCTTCTCGATTATCAAACGATGATTGTTGATTTGAAGTGTGGTATTATTCAATGAATTTCTTCTAACCTATTCTGGAATTTCTTTGGTAACTATTTTATTTATTTGTGTGGCTACCGGCCAGATAACCTAGACAATTCATTATATACTCTATGAAAAAAAAAAGTGTTGACTTTCTACTTTTTCATCTTCATACAAAAACATTCTGGGAATCAAAGAATGTATGATTGATCATTGTAGTCCGGGGGTGGCCTTGAAAATGACGAAATCGTTTCTAGAAGACAAGTTACAAAGAAAAACAATTCATAATTTCCGACCCTGAAAACCACCACTTATCAATTTTGAATCGAATCGGACCATAATTGCAAATCTTGTCCGCCATTGTGAAGCCGCCATCTTGTTTTTTTCCCTAGAAAAACTCCATAATGCATTATCCCCGAATTTATGTCAAATTAGCTTGCGAATGAAGTATCATAATTTGGAATAGGGATCAGTTTTTTTCCCGCAAGAAGGCGCCAAAATAGAAGGTTAGGTAGCTTAAACTGACATGGCTGAATTCCTTATGAAATTACCATTTCAACCACATGTCACACTTACTGCTTTCCCTATTCAAATTGTTTGGATGATAGTCACCGAGGGGTGGGGGAAGAGGTAAGACAGTTGAGGTTATGATACGAAGATGTCCCCCTTGGATTACAAATCGACGTGTCCTTGCATTTTTTTCAGAACACATGTGTTTTGAATGTGCTTTTGAGGGTTATCGTTCGTAGGGATGCAACAGCTGGTTAACGGAAAAATCATTTCAACATATTGACATTGAAGATTAACGGTAGGTATATGGTTTTTTCGCAAGATATAGAATAATCAAATAATAATCAAACGATAAACAAATAATACAAAAAATCAAATATTATGAGGTATAAGCTGGTAGCGAGATAGTGATTATAATTTATAAAAACGCTGAAAACAACAACACAGAGTCATTCAAATGATTCAGTATGATTTCTTTTTGTATATTGCTATAATGGTCGTAGACCACTACGAAAATCAATTGCAATCTTGATATTCTGGAACATCGAAGAAATGTTCGATATTTGTTCCTCTTTCATATATATTTTATAGATACTTTTACGGGAGGTGTTGAAGTGATTTGGCACATTTGATTCCACCAAGAGCGATCGTTTTGAGGTTCAACTCAATACACCTCGAACTTCACTGTTTGAGGACTCTTTCATTTGGAGAAATTCCTGTGTGTGAAAACGTTTTTCCAAAAGAATTTAATCTCCAGCGATTTAAATCCAACGTGAATCGCTACTTCCGCACAGGCACCACTCTTTAAGCGCCTTGAAGAGTTTCCTGTAGTGCTTGTGTTTTGTCCTTTGAAAAAAAAAGCAAGTGCAAGAAGGTGAGATTTTGCTTTCCTAGCGTCCCAATTCCACATACCTTGAAATACCTACCTCTGGAAATTACTAGAGAAAAATAATTTCAATGATTACGAAATCGATGAGTTCGTTTCTCTTACTAATTTGTGTATGGAACAAAATCGGTTCCAGGAAGAAGGTTGCTTTCATGAACAACAGGGAGGAACAGCCATGGGAAACCCCTTATCCCCCTACCTGGCAGACATGTTCATGAGCAGATTCGAAATGGAAACCAAATAAAAGTATTTTCCATGGATTTGGCTAAGGTATTTGAAAGATATTTTCGCGACATTCGATACCAAAAAATCGATTAGTGAGGACTTTGTTTCCTTTTCAAATAATAGATGTCTATCAATGAAATTCACGTATGAGTTAGAAAATAAGGGACAACTACCATTTCTTGACATTCTGGTAATGAGGAGTCAATATTGAGGGTAAGAATACGATATATTTAGAAAAAAAACAAGCACGTACATTCCTGACAGTTCACATCACAGTGGACAGCACAAACGTGCTGGGTTGGATTTTTAAGTGCATCGTCTTTTGACTTTCCCTCTAACACATGATAGGTTCACGAAAGAAAAACGTACAATGTACAATATAGGAAATAGCAGCCACTAACGGTTTCTAGAGGGGTACTGTAGATGACATGATAAGGAAGAATAAGTTTAGGTTAAGAATGAACTAAATCTCGACTTTTAGAAAGGACAAAAACCAAGATAAATACATCTCAAATCCATACCACTTATATACGAAGAACTTTGGAAAATTTTTCAAGAAACTAGGTATGAAGGTGGTTTTAAAAACAAGTCATATACTACAGAGCCTTTTGGGAAGTCCAAAAGACAAAGTAGAGAATTCGGAAAAGTGTGGAATTTACGAAATTGAATGTAAGGACTGCGATGCAAAATATTATGGACAGACAAAAATATCTATTGAAGTAAGATACAAGGAATACATAGCACACTTAAAATATGAAAGACCTGAAAAATCAGCAGTCGCCCATCATATTCTGCAACAAAACCATTCCACAGACTTCAGTTCATTAAGATTAGTCAGACAAGTTAACAATATGTTAAAATAATGTTATTGGATTTACTGATTACTACATAAGGACACATTGTAAAAATAAATTTAGATAGGCAATATTGTGGAATTGATTTTTAGATAGCTGAAAATTGTTTTATATATAGCTATAACATTCAAACGTTACATAAGGACATATTGTAAAATAATAGATAAGGCAAATTGTAAAATTAATTCAGGTGTGGTATACCTGTATGTGTATGTGTCCTGTATAGCTTAGGTAAGTTTCCAGTTTAATCTTCCACTTGAAGATGATCACTTGGTGATCGAAACACGTGTCGAGGTGTTAAAAATAACGATTTAGTGTTAGGAAAAAACTCCAGTAATATTCAATATTTCAGATGTAGGATTTTCAATGCAGACATATTTTTGGTGAATCATTATGATAGCAACTCACTGTTCTTCGTAGCACAAGGGATCTCTCAATCGGCTCCTCAGCAACCTTCCCAGTCTCACCATCCTGCCAACCTCCACGATCAATTTTTCCCTGATACCAAAATATTGATCAAGTGTCTCTCTTTTCTTCGTCAACTCCATCAATGGAATAGTAGCTACTGCTTCTCTCAGATTTCTCATCTGGTTGCACTGGTCTTCCACGGATCTGTGAAATACAGCCGACACCCTCAATCTGGTCATTTGTTCCTGGCTCACCGTTAATAATTTCTGCCAAGAGGTCTTCAGTTTCTGGTAAAGGTTAGCATGATCATCAAGGGGTAATTTGCAGGATTGCCTCAATACTAAAGATGCATTCAGGAGTTGGCAACCGTAATTGTAGGTACCCTGAAAAGTATAGGTCACCATTTCAAAGCTGCAAAATTCAGTGGTTTATTGAATAAGGTTTTGGAGCAATGCACTACTTAATATTTCGAGATGAAGGACTTGACATGATATAGTATAAGAAAAAATGATTCAAATTCCAATTTCATGATAGAAAGTTATTATACGGGCTGTTAAAAAAATTAAGTGTCGTAAAATGGGGTTATTTTGATCAATTTTTATTTTGGAAAGTCAGTATCTTTTGTATAAATTAGCAGAAGAATACGATAAACAAACCATAATGTCGGTTTTTCGTCTTCTACCCGATAATTAACTTAAAAAACTCTTAATTTATTTAATCTTTGAGAAAAAAAAATTAAACCACATGATCAAATTTATACATTGATCGGAGTTACTTTCATCACCATGCTTATTTCCATGTCATTTGGAAGCAACCCAAAAAAAAATAAAATAAAAAAAATATTGAATCTGTCCACAAGTTTCTTCAATAAAGCTGTTTGAAACACTTGGGGTGGCTTTGATATAGACAAAATGATGTTTCATTTATAATTTTATTCAAAATTAATATTATAAACAAAAAAAACTCTTTCATTGGACGAAAAAATGCTACGTTCAAAGGCTGAAGCAAATGGGTCGAGTGTGGTACCAAGCAAACGAAGTTGATATCGTTTTCTCCACATAGTCGTAAAACATCTTCATCGATATGAGAGAACAAATTGTCCATAATTAACTCTTTACGCCCGTTTAGTCTTTTCGCGTGTGGCAAAAAACATGTCATAAACCAATCTCGGAATGTTGAGCTGTCAATCCAGCCACTTGCTGTTCGGTTGTCGGTTGTATCTAGTTCCTCTTGAGCAACAAGGCTCATCGCAACAGGGTGAGCCACACGGTCCTCTCTCTTTCCAAGTGTCATATAGATGTGTGCTCTTATACATGACATAAGGTGATAATAAAACACCATTTGCAGATCCACAAACCATGGTAGATGTGCAACTCTTGGAAAATTTCATTATTTTTTCTGGGTATTTGACTCCTCGTCGATATATATAGCGTTTTTTGCCCAGGTCGTCGCTTAAATTTGACTCATCATAGTTGAAAATATTACTACTAGGCACGTTTTTCACAACACTTTCCAAGTGTTTCCAATATTGTTCTATATTTTGTTTGGAAACTCCAGCTCGAGCCCTTTTTATATTAGCTGCAACACGCTGACTGTAAGAATCCTGATTACGTCGTAAAACCGAGTAGGCCCAGTCAATACCCGGCACATTATTGGAAAATTTTGCAATTATTTGTCCCGTTCGGTCTAAACAAGCCTTAGCGAACATATGCAAATTAAACAGACCTAGAGGAAATCCCCATTCGGCCCACTTCGCTGCCGATTCAAGAATGGCCCTTTCTTGAGCGTCAGTGAATACAGTTTGGGCTCCAGGTCTATTTATGTGTTGTCCATTATATCTATTGTATAAAGTTCCATAGGGGATTTTCAATTCTTTTGCAGCGCCACGAATCGCCAAACGTCTGTCTGATATAGATTGCAGTGCATTTTCAATCACTACATCCGAGTACTGTCGACTTCCAAGCGGTTTCCTAAAAGTCCTAGGCATTGTTCTGTAACAAAAATAACCCAAGTAATACTGCAAAAAACACTATTTCACGAAATTTTATCGTAAACCGCAGTTTCTTCAAAATAAGGGGTTACTTTGATCATTTGATTAAAGTAACCCCGTACACCCGATCAAAGATACCCCATATGGATTTAAGTTAAAAACATGGCGACTCTATTAATTTCTCAGGACTTAAAAACGTATTCACAGGAAACCGTAATTACCAATAACCAAGACGATAAAATTGATATTCTAGTAATTTTGAAACTACATGAAGAGTTCTACATACCTGAAATTCCAATATTTTTTTCACAAAATCACAAAGTTTTATGACACAGCGTGGGCCGTTGTTAAACAAAATTTGACATATTGTAAAATCGGTATTAGTATTGCGAATACTGAAAAAAACATTCGGCTGCGTCCAGTAATCTCGTTATTCGCGCTTTTCAAAAATAAGTAAGCTGTTATCAAAGTAACCCCATAATATCAAAGTAACCCCATTCTACTGAATATTCAAATTTCGCGGACTAGGTACGATTGGCGAGTTTGTATTATTTTTTATTGTTTTGAATGATGCAGTTTGAGGAGTGCCTAGAAGATGACAGTACTACCAGCTGTCGAAAGCGCTCGCAGAGAATTAATAGAAGATATAAAGCTTCAAATCCTTTTCGTGAAATTTAATATTAAAATATTTTGTATTGGTACACCCTTCTCGAATATATGTTCACAGTTTCAGCTATTGAGCATGTTTGGTTTGTTGGTGAGAGAAGATGTGAATGACGACGCTTGCCCTGGGTGCCCCAGCACATTAGCAATCGATGAAAATGTTAGGAAAGTAAAGTAAATTGTTATGGATAATTGTCGAATCACTTTTAGAAGAGTTACTGAGAATGTTGACGTATCTACGCAGGAGCATCGTTCAGGAATTGTTGAATGACGTTAATGCCGATCCAGGTCTCCTTGAAATGGCCATAACTGATGATGAACCATGGGTATATGGTTATTACATCGAAACCAAAGTCCATTCGTCTCGATGGAAAAGCCCAGGAGAGCCAAGACCAAAAAAAAGCACGAAAAGTGTCATCAAATGTCAGAAGTTCTTGCCACATTGTCGTACGGACAATAAGGAGTATCATTTTGAAGGTACGAGCCGCTTGCAAGAAGCAATACGAAGAAAAACGTCCCGTATTGTGAAAAAACAATTCATGTCTTTCGCATTAGGTGCATTACCTGTTCACTCCTTATTGCTTTTTCGTAATTTTTTGGCCTGAACAAACGGTAATCATGCCTTAGTCACTGTATTCACTAGGTTTGACCCTCTACGGCTTTTTTCTGTTCCCAAGATTGAAAATATCTATGAGTGAAAGGACTGCGTTAACATACCGTATTGCTAACAAACCAAATAGTGCATATCACAACTGCATCGAGGATTGGAAAAAGCTCCGACACATGCGTTTTATAGCTGAAGGGGACTATATTGAAAGGAACAAAATAAAAACTGATGAATAAATATATTTTCCTGGGAAAATTCTCCTTTTTTTAACAGACAGTCATATTTCTGAAGTTTTTGAAGGATTATCATTGCACCATCGAATAACTATTGTATACTTCGGTTATCCGACTCTGTGGATTGAAAATTCGAGTTCATTTCATTCTTTGTCATGAATCCACTCAATTGATAACATTTCCAATTGATTTACCCCAAAATCTGGAGTATCAGTTGGTTACCTGAATGACATAACGTGTTCTCTACAGTTGCAATACAGTTGCATACAGTTTTTCAATAATTTTTCAATAATTTTTCATCATCATGCCTTCAGATGAGAAAGAGGTGAAATTATTCTTCCTAGACTAGGAAGGTACAGCAAAAAAACAAATGGGCATCTGCCTGGAACTGAAATGTCCCACCTTCATTTCGCACATGCACTAAATCTACAGCTGACATAGATAGTACATGTACCAGTATTTTCAACTTGAACTTTTGAGTCGTTGAATGAAATTGTTGTTTTATCAAATGTGTCACTCATTTGTATATACCTTATTCATCATTCACACAGATGCTTTTTGACAAGTTATAATGCCCATTAGTGATATACAGTGACAATACTCAAATAGATTGAACAGATTCACATTAACAAATTACAAGTACATATGGGTACTAACATAATTGGCCAATGGGGCATCTTTCAGTAGTTGTGAATGAAAATTGAATAATTTGATACCTATTGACTGTTTGTTGAAAGATCGCCACCTGTTGTGGGAAATGACAATGAGTATAGTTCTGGATACATCAATTCACCTGGTTTGTGCAGTTTTACGTGAATTAATAGCTGAGAGAAGTGACAGTATTCTGATCATCAATTACAACTCTCAGTATTTGCTATGCCTGGACAGCAAATACTGACGGAGTGTGACAGAAATGTTACCAGTTGAACTATGAACTTTGAGACACATATCAAATGGAAAAATGAATTACGAAGTTGACAACTGATTTCAGTCTGATTGCAAATATCGACAAGGATAACCTGCTGGACAACTAAATATTACTGGAGTTTTATCCCAACACTTGGAAATCTAACATTGTCTTCAATAGTGTTTCTCCTTCTAAGAATTGGTGTTTTGGTTTTATTTTCATTCAGTACCAGTTTTGAACTCATAAACCTTTCTGTGGATTGATGTACCATGTTTTTTTCAACTCATGAATTACTGAAAATTGATCATCAATGGATGTTGCATAATCTACAAACAAAGTTGTCAAGGCTCTCATACTGATGGAAATATTGTTTATATTTATTATTGGTTTACTGTGACACTTCCACTGGTTTGATTATTATAGTGAACTGATTGTGATCTGCCTTGCTTAGATACAGGTTGAATCAAATTCGACCCCCACGTTTCCCATTCTGATGTTATTGATGAATAATTCGTTATGATTTGCTATTCTGAAACCACAGGTATTGAAAAAAACAACAAAAACTAGTTGTCAGAACTCATCAAACATCATAAGTTTGCACTAACACTTCAGTCGAAATGTCCTCATTCTCAAATGAAGAAAAACGAGATATGTTGAAACATTATTATGAATTTGATAGGAAGAGTACGAAAACAGCACAAATTTATTTTGAATTATATCCGGAAAGACAACGGCCGGATAGAACATCATTTGGAATTTTGGACAAACTCTTATACTCTTGGCTGAAATTTCCGATTTTCAAGAAACGCAACTTTTCCCCAATTTAGGCTTCAACGTATCTCCTGTAGTTTAGGAGATCCCAATGGTGAGGGTCGAATTTGAAGTACCCTGTATATGAAATCATCAGTTGTATAGCTGCGACCTGAAAACTATATAATTCAATTAATTAATTCAATTAAAATTTTCATAAGGAAACGACTCAACACAATCAAACGATTTACTGAGATCTGCAGAAATAACTAGTGGGTTAGAAGAGGCCTCAATTCCACAACTGAACATTCTACAAACCTCATTACTCATTAGAGGTATACCGTTTCCAGCACAAAATTGATTGGCATCCAGTGAAATGGTAATCACACTTGAAGTATTTCCTGATACTTCATCGTGATGGGAACTAAAGCTAATAAGCTAATTCACGATAATTGTTCAGATCTCTTCCAACCTCTTCTTTATGGGGGGGGGGGGAATTAGGCAGTAGTCTACAGGAACTTTCAGTACTGAACGTTTCGTCCGTCGTTGCAGCAGACATCATCAGTGCTACATGCTTTTACTGCGAGGACGGAGGTTAAATCTTGAAGTCTCAGTGGTTGCTGACATTTTTTTGTTTCAGTTCATTTTCTACACATAAATGTGTATTGAATAAATGAGGTGACGAAGCAAACAGGATACTGAATGTTCTTTTCGCAAAGTAATGCACTGTGTTCGGAGACACTTGTGTGGTGTGAATTCATGATTGAATATAGTGTTTCACTGATACATTTTTAAGTAACTGACAGGGATATGAAGGAGGACTTTGCAAATGAGATGGATGATGATAAAAAGTCTTCAAATGATATTGTAGGTGTACGTGAATGCTTCAATATTTCGTCTAGTTGGGAAGAGAAATTGATGTTGAACTGAGATGGAGAATGCTCCAGTAGTTCATACTCCATTCTCTTAAAAAGCATTTTATACGTACTGGTTTCATGACAATTTATTCTATTGAAATTCAATCAGTGGTTCAATATTTCTATATCTTCTCTGGATTGAACTTAGCGTCTATTTGACAGTAGAATATGTTTGTTGTGGCTGTTTTTTTCTGCAACTATTATGTTAGGAAAGCAAGAGTCGAAATAGTGATTGAATATGTTGATATTGTGAATGATATATGTGAATGTTACTGTTTTTACTGTGCTACAGGAACTCGGAGGTAACCATCAACATTGAGAAAACTGTTGGTGTGTATCAATAAATGAGGATAAAAAATGCAGAAATTCACCACTCAATTTACCTTTGCTGTTTCTTGAAATGTTTGGTGTTCATCTTTTTGCCTTTGGATCTCGTGTACGGTACAACCCACATGTCCGTGGTCCTTCAACATAACCTGCAGTAATTCATCTAACCACTGAATCGCTTGATTGGTGTCTTTTTCGTAACAATCGATGTGAGTGACTTGCTTGAGGGTGAGTTTCTGCAATTCTACGCTGTCCGAGAAAATGTTTTTTCTAGCTGTTGTAGCGTCCAGAACGTCTCTTATGTTGATTATATCCTCGGTGTAGTCAACAGATAATTCTCTTCCTAGCGAGTCTTTCACCGGCATCGAGAGCATATCAGAGAGTTTTTCACCTTCTTTCCTGAGTTTGGATTCTACGGAATCTATAAAAGAAACAAAGGATTTCAGGATTTTCAAAATACACATTTTGGGTTCATTCAGTAGTGTGGATTTTATGAATACTAAGTTGATTAGCTTGTTCTAAATCGACATATGTTTTGTTTCGAAAACGTGTTGGATGTCGAATTTTTTTCAACTCTCCCTATACGAATGTATAGATAACATGGTATCGATGTTTCATCTATAGCCGAGAACTCAATCTATTTGCAATGAAGTTATCTAGAAGAACAATTCGTTCAGGCCAGTCTTAAATTAAATAAACAACAAAACACAATTGGTTACATTTCACAATTGACAGAAACATTGCGTGCCTATTCAATTTCAATTTCAAATTGAGAACATGTCAATTCTGGAAAAAGAAGAGACACAGTTTTTGGGAACTACCATTGATGCATGTTTGACATGGAAAAAACATGAATTTAACGAGTAAAATTAATTCATTAGGTTATCTCTTTAGAAACCATAACAGATATCTTAGATCAGCAACTTTTGGCACTATATCATGATCAAGTAGCTTCCAGACTGAGGCATGGCATATGTATGTGGGGTAACTCGACTTTGATATCAAATGTATTCGTTGCGCAGAAGTATATTTTGAGAATAATGGCCAAAATGCCTTTGGATCTCGTGTACGGTACAACCCACATGTCCGTGGTCCTTCAACATAACCTGCAGTAATTCATCTAACCACTGAATCGCTTGATTGGTGTCTTTTTCGTAACAATCGATGTGAGTGACTTGCTTGAGGGTGAGTTTCTGCAATTCTACGCTGTCCGAGAAAATGTTTTTTCTAGCTGTTGTAGCGTCCAGAACGTCTCTTATGTTGATTATATCCTCGGTGTAGTCAACAGATAATTCTCTTCCTAGCGAGTCTTTCACCGGCATCGAGAGCATATCAGAGAGTTTTTCACCTTCTTTCCTGAGTTTGGATTCTACGGAATCTATAAAAGGAACAAAGGATTACAGGATTTTCACAATACACATTTTGGGTTCATTCAGTAGTGTGGATTTTATGAATACTAAGTTGATTAGCTTATTCTAAATCGTCATATGTTTTGTTTCGAAAACGTGTTGAATGTCGATGTTTTTTCAACTCTCCCTATACGAATGTATAGATAACATGGAGGACTTCAATCATAATAATGTTTGTGAAGTTCTAACAATAGGTATCGATGTTTTATCTATAGCCGAGAACTCAATCTATTTGCAATGAAATTATCTAAAAGAACAATTCGTTCAGGCCAGTCTTAAATTAAATAATTAACAAAACACAATTGTTTAGATTTCACAATTGACAAAAACATTGCGTGCCTATTCAATTTCAAATTGAGAACATGTCAATTCTGGGAAAAGAAGAGACATAGTTTTTGGGAACTACCATTGATGCATGTTTGACATGGAAACAACACTGTTTGAATTTAACGAGTAAAATAATTCATTAGGTTATCTCTTCAGAAACCATAACAAATATCTTGACAGATCAGCAACTTTTGGCACTATACCATGCAAAAATCAGTTTGTGAAATCTCCATTGAACCAGAAAAAATCTCTGTACATGTAGTTCCAATTTAAATGGTACCAGAGTGTATTTTCATTGGGTGAGGTAGCTTCCAGACTGAGGCATGGCATATGTACGTGGGGTAACTCGACTTCGATATTAAATGTATTCGTTGCGCAGAAGTATATTTTGAGAATAATGGCCAAAGCCTCAAAAAGGGCCTCTTGCAGAAGTTTATTTAGACAATTCAACATTTTACTCTTATCAGCATGTATATATTCGAATTGTCAATTTTTGTCTCTTAAAACAAACATAAATTTATCACCAATGAAATCATACATAGTAGGAATACTCGTCAAAAAATATAACTTCCACATACAGTATTGAATATATACTTCTAATTCACCTTATGTGATGGGCCCAAATTTCTTTAATCAGTTACCAAAATACATTAAGACGCTCAATAAAATTAATGAATTTACCCGAAATCTGAAGAAGTATTTAATTGATAGTTGTTTTTATAACCTAGATGTTTTTTTATATCATAAAATAGTTTTCTTTTGTATTGTATTTTATATTAAGTGTTAATTTCAGAGTGTTTTTATATTAATACGGACACTGCGTTTTCATGTGTTCTTCATTGCTGGACAAATCCTATACACACTCATATGTCGAACGGATAATCAATAAATAAATAAAAATAAATACCTACATTGTAGGTTAATTGACTGACACGTTTCAGGAAACAACTACTTCCCTGGCTAATATCACGAAGGGTGTTTGATTATATATGACAGGTGTCAGTACAGGATTCTTTCCTGAAGTTATTCCTGCATATGATGTCGGCGATACAACTGCCGCATGTGATTTTCAATTATTGAAACAACTTTGCAGACTGATTTCGGCCTGTTTGGCGACTCGTCATTGCAAGGTAGTGTCTATCATCAATATAAAGTCGATGATTTCCGATAATTGGAAATCGAACTCTTTCAGGGTATCATTCTTCGAACTGGGCTGAAGCGAACAACAAACAACTGGTTTGTCATCGCCCCATCTGCCTGTGAACGAGGAAACCAACCGCATATCCGAAAGTTTCCCAATTCAATTTATAAGGAAGAAGTCTTCAAAAATTGAGTGGGCAAATTTGGAGACTGGCTCTAAATCAAGTTATCTACGAGAATAATTCGTTCAGGCCAGTCTCAAATTACCTACACTGTAGGTTAATGTACTGACACCTTTCAGAAAACAACTACTTTCCTGGGTAATACCACGAAGGGTGTTGGATTATATTATTTGCAATGATCGTAGGGTACTATATTGTAGTGAGAGTACGCGATGTGGCAAGAGTACCTAACATATATTTTGGCGGGTTGACTGCCCTTGTTCATCTTTCACTGCCTGAACCACTGTGCATGCTGTTTTTGGTCAGTGCATTGGCTTCAGATGTGGTGGTTGAGCAAACCTGCCATCGGATGCATGCTTCCACGTGGCCCCGCTGGATACGGGAATAACAGAATCATTTGTGGTTCTGTTATTCCCTAACTGAATGGCATCCCAACGATGGCTTAATCCTAAGGTGTGTGTATCCGTGCTGAGAGGATGAATGACAATGAGCTTATCAGCTATTACTACGGAACCTTCGAGATACCGGGCGTAGCATCGTAGCATCGCCTTGTCATGGTAATGCGGGGCTCTGCCGTAATTAACCTCCCTTCCCTAGCTACTCGTGGGACTTTTATGGACAGAGTAAACTCAAAAATTCTTTCTGACGCTGAGTCTACAGAGGAGATGGATGTCGAGCTTACGACTCCAACTGACTTCCCTGTAAATTTAGATGAGGAGCGAGAGCTTCTCAACTCTCCAATTCCTGATCCAGAGTTGACGTGAATATGGGAAGGTTGTCGCTGGTATCGAGGTGGGAATCTTGCACCTTGACTATCCGATTATCTCATTAACGATGAAACAGCAGAGTATTTACTTTGCGCCTGCCCCGCTAGGGACCGAATCAGGTTTTTAAAGTTCGATAATGCCATACTCTTACGATCTGACCTGAAAGACCACTCGCCATGCTAACTAATCGGCTTCGTTGAGAAGCTGGGTTTATTTTGTCGACTGTGAATTGGTGTGAGCCACAATGAACCCTTGTGGGTTGCAGATAGATAGATAGATAACTTTATTACCTCATTAGCCACATAAGTGTAGGTTCGTTAGTTACAATCATCGGATACAACCGGATACAATCTTTAAAGATGTCGAGCTTACGACTCCAACTGACTTCCCTGTAAATTTAGATGAGGAGCGAGAGCTTCTCAACTCTCCAATTCCTGATCCAGAGTTGACGTGCATATGGGAAGGTTGTCGCTGGTATCAAGGTGGGAATCTTGCACCTTGACTATCCGATTATCTCATTAACGATGAAACAGCAGAGTATTTACTTTGTGCCTGCCCCGCTAGGGACCGAATCAGGTTTTTAGAGTTCGGTAAAGCCGTACTCTAATGATCTGACCTGAAAGACCACTCGACATACAAACTAATCGGCTTCGTTGAGAAGCTGGGTTTATTTGGTCGACTGTGAATTGGTGTGAGCCACAATGAACCCATGTGGGTTGCGGTGGAGGGTTGAATAGACCCACTCACTTTGGACCTAACCTAACCTTACCCAACATATATTTGGCATTGCAACGTCCCGAGAATACGTGTCATATGAGTGAAATATGTCGAAAATGCTGCAAACTCAAAATCCAATACTTGCGGATTATCCGAGTTGGCATTTTTGCACAACCTTGACTAATGCCGTTTGATACTTCTGAATGACAAACGGATTTGTGGCGATTGTTGGCATATAAATATTAATTCAATGATTTCACTGAAGTAATGAAAATCAGTTTCAGTCAGAAAATATTGAAGAAGAGGAAGAGGTTTTAGTTCTTAGGCGTGGAACACTGCGTCTCACGCAAGATTTCCTTTTCTCTCAATTATAACAGGCAGAGCCTAAAATACTTCTTCTATCAGTGCCAGGCAACGCTGTTTCGACCTGTCATGAAATTTACTTTTGAACTTCTTCGCCGTTTCCAACAATATCAATTTTTGGTAAAAAACGACCATTTACCGAAATGAAGAATAAGGACTGTGCCAAACAATAATCGATATCAACCCACAACACAAAGTGTTCTTCTGTTTCTCGTGATGTTTCACACTGAAAACCCTATAAAACATCATTCAAATTGAAATTATTTATTATTAGTCAAATTGAAATAGAATTTCCTCACCTAATTTTGCTTGACTTTCTTGCAATTCTTTCAACTTCTCTCCCGCTGCTTCAAAATCAGCAATATTACCCCCCATGACTAGCGAATCGAACACCTCCCCAGTCCTATCAAAGTACTCAGAAACCAGCCTGAAGAACCTCAGAGAGGTTATGAGGATGTTCCGCCTCCTCTCCAACCTCAAAGCGAAACTTCTGCAAACGAAATCCATGAAGTCCTTCTGCGAGATCAAATCTTTCATCTGCACCGATAGAGTATCGGTATTGTTAAGGTTTTTTGTTCGGTGAATGAGTTCCGCATAAGTTCCGTAGGCCTCCCAACACTCCAGTTCTATAGCCTCGTGTTCTCTTCTGAGTTCTTCTGCTGAAGCCACATCATACCCAACTTTCTGTTGGGAATTGAGCAGCGTTTCTGCATGCCCGAGTATCCAACTGGTGACTTTGACTATTTTCTCTTCAAGGTGAGTCAAATCTTTGGTATCAATGAATGATTTCTTCATGTCAATCCAGGCTTCTTCTACTTGTTGCTGTTTCGTTTTCACAGTACCTACGATTGTATCTATTCTCTCGATAGTATCCAGAGTGTCTTGGGGCGTTGACATCAGGTCCAGATTGTCTGAAGCAAGTTTCCTTGTCCTGTTCTCGAATTCTATGTTCTCGACAAGCTCTCTACCTGAAAAAACAAAACTAATAACAAGTCTGCTGAGAAATATATTTCTGCGAATTTATGAACTGCAATTAATTGTTCAACATCGAGACTGGCACATCCATACAGGAAAATTACTGGGAGGTCTGATTTGTTATAGTCAACTTAGTAGATGATTTGATACTGCAGAAAGAGATAAAAAAAATGTCGAAACTTTGTTTTCACGAATAACTTCTAGACTTTTCGTTCTGTATAAACTGGGTTTGGTGTCTGGTGTCTGACAGGAAACAGTCGGTACATATCAGAGGTTCTCAAACTTATTTTGTATACTGCCCACTTCGAGAATTAATTATTCTCTAGCGCCCCCCAAATTTTTTCGCTTTACTACATCTTACGAATCATAATCGCAGTCATTATTTTAAAAATTGAATTATGTGTGTCTTGTGAAAATAAGACTTTTTGATGAGGGTAATGTAAAACACCATTTTGTAATATTAGGAAAACTTTTATTCATGTCATTGAAACAGACATTTCAATTTGAATTTTAAAACTGATCTAATGTGAAGGATGAATTTGACGAATTTTAACAAATTCGTTAATATCAGGCTCGAATTTATTCAAAAACAGCTGTCACCGCGTTCGGTAATTTGCAACCGATTTCTCTTTTTAGTTAGCAACGTTGTCACAGCACTAAATCCACGTTCACACAAATACGATGATGAGAATACTATCAAAAATCGTTGAACGATGGACCACAATCCAGGGTACAATTGCGGCATTGGCTTTTGTAGCCAAAATTCTTGGTATCCATTTTTCAATTTTATTTTTATTTCCTCGTTCGTTATCAGTTCTATGAGTCGTCACCTTGTATTTGGAGATTGACATTAAATAATTTATACAGGTCTGTCAAGTACGCAATATCATTCTTTGAAGTTATGAGGCTGTCGTGCAATTATTTCTCTTTGTTTTCCAAGAACTCTATTATAGAGTCAAATAGATTGTAAAATCGAGTCAGATAGTTACCTCTTGATAACCAACGCACTTCTGTGTGAAATAGCAGTACCTAGGTTGAAATCTTCATCATTAGCAATACAAAGCTGAATAAATAATCTGTCATTTAAAGAGCTGTTTCGGATTTCATTGACTGCTTTGATGATATATTGCAGTGATTGAGAGAGGCGCACACTCAAATTTCTCGCAACCAAATATTAATCTCACGAATGACAACAACAATACTTCATTGGTTGGTAAAGTGGAGAATTTAGAAGTCTTCAGATGATTGCACAATGACTCTTCAATGTTTTCAGCCATCTCGTCAATTCTAGATGGATTGGTAGAGGTGGGCCATATTCATGGCCATCACGGTCTCCGGATTTAAATCCATTGAATTTCTTTCTGTGGGGGCATCTAAAAAGCCTTGTTTACGCTATACCTATTCACACAAGAGATGCATTGTT